CAAGGGTGCTCTGTGAATATAACGAATACTTTTACCTAATGAAAGTAACGCCATAATATTGTGCTAGATTGTGAGAAGAGAAAAGTGAGAAATGTATAATAAACGGCGACAATTGTGAGAAGTTTGTGAGAAGTTCTCTTCGGGAGGATCCGATAATGAGCTGCTGAGAGTATGGGACAATCGGGTCGTTAGTTGGAGACACGGTTCAACCGAGGGACAATAGTGTACATAGGATTGACATTATTGGGTCTTAGGTGGAGGAGAACTAATCCTGAATTGAGTTCAGATGTCACTTTCCAACATCAGTTTAATAGTTTCACGCATTCCAATGTTTTGATGAGAATGTAAAGTCCTTGTGATGTTTTCAATACTTTCACAAGGTTGACAGGTTGAAATTTGAACATAGTTTGGTAGAAAGGTTGAGTAGAGAAGTCAATTTTTGTATTTTAATTAAGCTCGGTTGTATATTTATTTAATTTATGGAGTTTTGTTTCCTACATTTTTACAGATTAAATATTTCTCTGTGAAAAATATCGTCTCTGTGAGAATATCCACCCTTAAAATTTTCCCGTGGCCATACAGTAAAGTCAACGAAGTATAATTTTTGTATATACACAGTCAAGACAACATGGACCGATAGTTAGTTTCGTCATTCAGTTGCTTTATTAAATACTAGCTGTAACCCGCGGGCTTTGCCCCGTTTAACTTCTTAATTTTCAACATTATCTCGTTCGCATGGCTCAATCACGTCCTGGTTGAAGTTTGTTCGCTACGCTCACTCACCTTTAGGTTGGAGCTCGTTCGCTACGCTCACTCACCTTTAGGTTGGAGCTCGTTCGCTACGCTCACTCACCTTTAGGTTGGAGCTCGTTCGCTGCGCTCACTTGCCTTCAGGTTATAGCTCGTTCGCTACGCTAACTCGCCTCCAGGTTGAAGTTCGTTCGCTACGCTCACTCACCTTTTGGTTGCAAATTAGCTGTTGTCATAAATGTAAAAGAAATAATAGTGCTGCACCCTGTTGGTAATTTTTGTAACTTTAATGCTATTGAACATCACAGAACAGAACCAACTTGTTTAATTGAAACAGCTGTTAAGATTCAATAATTTCATTTCTCATAAGGTTAACATGGGAAACTCCAGAGCCACTGGGGCGGAGCCCGAAAGGATTTTTTAAATAAGAATATGCCTATATGTTAATCGGGAATGTGAGCTATCATCATGCCAAATTTCAGCCCAATCCGACCAGTATTTTTTGCGTTCACTTGTCACAAACATACATCCATACATCCATCCATACATCCATACATCCAAACTTTCTCATTTATAATATTAGTAGGATTAGTGTGTAAATACAGCTCAACCAATCATGCCTATAAACTCAGTTCTGTAGCGTATAAATCTTCTTTACCTACATGATTTGAAATATTTTAGTGTATTGAATTCAAGCTAAAATGCAGTTGTTGTTAAATTTTAAAAACTGTATTGTCCTAGAAGACTATCTCGAAAGCCCTAAAAAGTATCGTAGATTATTTTAACTTAATTTTCTAAAATTATTACGGTTATTTTCCATAAAAACAATAATTTTCACAACGTTTTGTGATTTGGAATCTGACACCGTCTTCAGGTGAAATATGAATCTTCCCTGTAGTATGAAATAATAAATAATCCCTGTAATATGAATCTTACACTATTCGGGAGAAAGTTAAACTGTATTTCGGAAAAAAATGTTTATTGAAGTTGAAGTCATAAACATCCTGTGTAATTGATTGTCGCGGGTAGTTTTGTCATTTGTTTGCCGAAGTAACCGTTTTCCCGCGATTATCACCGACCGGTCGGCGAGTCCTTGGAGCGTGACCTGATCAGCTGTTATTGGCCTATCTCACGAGTGTTCGCTGAACCGACCCAGCTGATAACACTTATCAGTAAGGGCTGGGTACACCCCTGGCAATACCTGTGTGAACCACTGTGATAATTAATTATTGTGCTGCTTTGCTAGTGATAGGTATTAGTTTTATATTTATGTTCTCTTTGTTTTGTAACTTTTTCTGTGTTGTGTGTAAGCAAAGTTGGCGGTGGAGAGCCGTTGTTTTATCCGAAGTGCTTATTAAATTAGGTCCTGAATTAAGGATGGTTGGAGAAGTGCTCTATTAGATTGGATAGTTCTTCAGCAGCCACATTTTAGTGATTACATTTTTAAATAAAATGCATTATATTTCGGAACATATCCGTATATTTATTTATATTTTATGGCAGATAAAAACGTTTACCTTTTGATTTAAATCTATGTCAGTATGGTAGTTTCTTGTAATATTATGTAATTTTTTATGATGAATAATTGGAAGGTATAAACTTCTCATGCCTGATTAGTTTATATGATATCCCACATTCACACACTCCTTAAACATTTATCACCCTTTTAAATCATCTTATGTCAATTTTTAGGTTAGTTCTGTTCAATTTGTGTAGGAGTTTGGTTATTTACTATTATAATTGTATTATATTTAACCAATTTTAAAACGGTTTAACCAAATAAAACAATGCATTTATAAACTATGGCTTGATAATGTAACCAAATGGATAAACAATCGTGTAAAATCTACCTTAAAACAAAGAAACATTTCAACATCATCACATTCAAACGTAACCAACAGCACATCTGGACATGTTTCAGATTTTACAATATGGCGAGAAGTCTTCGTGTGCCGTTTAAATCAATTACTAAACCGATTTCAGTGAATTTTCCATTACAGATATTATGTTCAAAGGTCAAAAGATAAAAGTAATTTTGGGACGTTATGGTGAATGGCACTTATGTCTAAACACCCGTTATTGTGTAGGAAGATTGGGTAACGATCGATGGATTGATATACGAAATTGAATAGACCGTTAGTCTTTATTTTAGAAGACTGACCTTAACAAATTGATGTCTTCAGTGGTGGGACTATTTTATAGCAATTTTATTCCTAGATCGTGATACTGAGAAAATTATTTTAACTATTTATTGTTGCATTCATATTGACCCTGGTTAACAATGTGGATACTACTTTATAATAATACAAGCAAATCGTGCAAATCATTTTAAAGTTCTTTAGTGCATACTAACACCAGGCTTTACTTAGGATTCTAACTCTAACAATCACGCATGTAAATAAAAAAATTAAAAAAAGTTCCAGTAAGTGTATTTACAATGAATATTTAGCTAGATATCAGTTATTTTGTACTTTTACAAAATACAACACAAACATACATACTTTTGAGAAAACCTCAGCAGTTTTTCAACAAATCCTTTAAATTTAGGAATCCAAGATAAAAATGTATTTTAAAAAATACTAAATAAACGTTTTCTTTTTGGCAGGTTTTCTAAAGATTATTGTTGTTAGCTATGTAAATTAAATTTTTTCAACCGTCGCAATTCTTCATTGTCCTAATTGCAACTCGATTATTATTTATTTCTTAACTAGACAGATCATCCAACAAAACTGCCCTCATAAGAACTAACTTGAAAATTATCAATCTTGAGAATTCTATTCTTAGTTTATTTGATATTATACACGCTGTTGGAATGTTTTATGCATATACCTTATTATATAAATTCCCAAATCACTTTTAAAATATCTGAGTTGAAAACTAAGCTGTTTAGTGAATTCATTTAAATTCAGACATTCACATACTAATAACAGGTAACTTGAAGGGTTTTCTATAATTAAAACATAGAAACACGATCGTTTTGTAAACTTAGTTACCTAACTGTGATGATTTGAGTTTCAGCCAAATTTATGTAGTACAACAAATAGTCCTACGTAGTTTTATTTGATAAAGAAGTGAAGGAAATTTCATGTTTATATTATTTACTACAAAAGAGTGGAAATCTTACTCAAATTTGAATTTTTTACATATTTGGTTTGAAGACAACAAAAATCAAAACAGAAATGTACATAAATATTTTTCACCGTAAAATATTTCAGTTTTATTAGGTGAATTCGTGGACAACTTAAGAACACTAATTTAATATGACGCGAATAAAATTGTCCGCAATGACTCACACTTCCGTCCAGTTTGGGGTAGTGTAATTTAGAAGGCAGTGGAGGGTGGTGGAAGGGTTATTACCAACATGCAAGTCTGACTCACAAGTGAATCATTGCCATTGGCGCGACTGACTGGAATTGATAAATATCATGGTGGCATTGGTGACATGGTCAGTCGCCACTGCCTGTCATCAGTTAGATAATCTATGCAGATTAACCAAGGGACTTAGGGAGTATATTAGTGGAGAAACTAGGTTTGAAAGTTAGTTGTCCGAAGTGAGTAGTTACAGCTTTTGAGGTTAGGACGGTCCAACAATATCCGTGATTATGCCTGTACCAAATTCAATGTTGGAAAGATCAAAGGTAATTGAATTGGTATTATAAAATTGTTTTTTTTTTATAATCGTTGTGAATACCACAAGGTTTATCAGTGTAGAAATTAAGTTTTAGTCCAAGTATTTTTAACATTTTGATTTAGTTCGTCTCCGAATAAAAAAAATACAGTACTCATCTTAAAAATTACTACACACCTTAGCATTCATGTCATGATACAAGTAATTTTTTTTTTAATTATTGTTTAAAGAAATTATAACTTGTCTCCAAACCAATGTATGACGAATGACCTAAGGTATGAAATCAGCTATTATGATTAGTAAAGTTATGCAAACTATTAGAATGATATAACGATAAAGCCAGTATTCTTTAAACTTGTATTTAGTTATTTTTTCGCTAGGATGTGTACCAAATAGTAGTAGTTTTATTTTAAAATGAATATTTCTTTGTTCTTTTTGGATGAAATACCAAAACGATAAATTTATAAAATGTGAAATTAGGTTAGCACTCCTGAAAAACGTGATCCTAGATTGCTGGCGTTTCAACGGATCGACAATTTGAAATTCATTTCAACTCCAACCAGGATATATTTTACAAATATACATCTTTCGTGAAAATACAGAATGTATTTGACTGTTGCAGGATTGTCAGAGGCTGGTGGAAGACAATCACAGACTTCTGCAGGAGATGGACAACTCTCATCTGCAGACTCAAGTGGATACTCTGCAGTGGCAACTGAAACAGGTACATAAATACCCCCGCCGCAGCAAAACTGCAGACTAAGCGAATTTCCAATTACCCGGATGGATTTCTACTAAAATATTACTTAAAAGTTGTCAGATTTAATTTCCTATTTGAAAAACATTAATTTTAGTGAGTACTTAGGTTTGCTGCTACAGGGAAGATATTGAGGTGTGTTTTTTTTTTGCTATGTTGATAGCTTAGTATGAAATAAACAAAATTTCCAAATTTTTTAATTTATCCATAAACAAGGAAACTACAACAGTTTATATATTATACATAAGAATAACATGGAAATTTTAAATATAATTTTTTTTATTATCTCTGTAACCGTTGGGCATACAACAACACTTCAATATACAAAATTATTTCTTTTTTAAAGCTTTACAAAATGGTTAGGAGAGAAATCATGAAATTTTGTGTTTTAGGGTCAAAAATGGGAAAAATCAATTTTTACCCCATAAAATTCCCCATGAACACCCATTCCCATAGTCCGATTATGCTGGTTCGCGAGTTATGTAAACGTATAGGTTTACACGTTTGTACCGAATTTCATCAAAATCGGATCATTTTTGCTCGAGTTATCGCGCTAACGGACATATATATGTATATATATATATATATGAATTTGAACGGATGGTGTTTTTGGCCTCTGGGGACATCAAAACGAAAAAGTAAATCGGTCCTGTGTTTAGGTCTTACCATGAGACCTACGGTAATAGCTTATTCCCTATATGGGAAATTCGCTAAAAACTGTCGGTTAATTTATCACTAAATTAATAGATTAAAAATGTTGAGCAATCAAACTTGATCAGAAATCCAAAACCTCTACAAAGCTTGTTTAATTGTAAGTAAAAAAAAAATACATGAACATAAACTTTTTTTTTAATACTTAAATCTATTAAGAAAATGTTGGCCCTGTAAAACCTATTACAAAGCCATTAATATTGGTACTCGTTTAAAAAATAAATACCCAACTTAATAACAGAAACAGTAAGGTCGGCAGGAAATTCTGTTTAGCATAGAAAGTGCTTTTCTTATAACTTTTGCTTTTGGAATACAAATTTGATTTTCACCTCAATGTTTATTCATGATGTCCGTAATATTAGATATAAAATTGACATTGCTGGTCCTCCATTTGTTTAATGCTTTTTAGTGACACAGTGTTACTATTAATTATTGTGTTTTTTTTTTATATGTTTTGTTTTTCTGGTAGCATCTATTGTAACTTTAATGTACTGTAATTTATTTGGGTATGATCAATCCTTTTCTAGGAATAATAAAAGGGGTTTCTTCGTATAAGGTATATTTTGAAGTCAAGTTCCTAAGTAAGCAAATTGTTTTAGCAATATGACTTAACTGAAAAGTTTTAGCCTTGTTAAATCATGTTTGTTTCTAGGCTGAATCAAGCAGGCAAATGTACAGAGCTGTTTTAGAGCAAGTGTCAAAATTTCTGGAGAGGGTTCATAGAAACCTGGATCAGGCAAATGTGAAGACTTCCCCTTCAAAATGCAAAGCACGGTAAGTAACATATGTTATTTTAATGAATATGGAGGGTAAAAAATTAAAGATGATGGGCTAGTTCATGACGATAAAGGACTCTATAGTAGCCAACCTGAGTTTGTAGTTTCATTGTGACATTGACTTTACACTAAGGTATCCTATACATTACTTCTACACGCACCAGCTATAGCCAGTTTTTTTTTATTAGGGAAAACACACATAAACCTCACATAAATTGGGATACAATTTAAGATTGTTTTTCCTATTAGTTTTTAATATGGTGATGGTTGGTTCACAAAAAATCATAAAACACTTTTCAGTTTGACATGGGTAAGTATGTAAAAAATTTGTATGTAAGATAGGAAATGTATTAAATTACATTTTTCTTCCCTGTGTTCTTTACCTTGAAGTTTGTGTATCACCCTGTATATTTTGCCAGATTGTGTGACATCTTCAGGGGGTTTTCTTGTTATCTTCTTATCACCATCAATACTGTCTAAGAGATAACATTTAAGAAAACCTGGTGAGGTGACAAAATATTTAGAGTTACAAAAGCTTCTAGCTCAAGAACACAGACAATAAAAACGTTAATTTAATATCATTTTAACCTGGGATAGCCAAAAACAATATGAAGGTTTTAGAGAACAGAACCAATGCTTAATTTATAATGGTGTTTATATTCAAAGTTTGTCTAATTTTGCCACAACAGATCAGTTGCATGATTAAATACACTGCCAGAAAAGAGAGGATGAGTTCAAGATATCAATATGCTTTGAATAAAGATATTTAAACAAAACTTGAGGTTTATTTGTAAAACTTATTGAAACTGGTACAGCATTTTTTAATTAAATATAAGATGAAACAGTTAAATTTTTTAACGTAAAATATTCTTTTGTTTAAAATTGTTCTTAATTTTTCATTACAAAATCAACTTAAAAAGTCTGCTCATTTCCAGACTTCCAACAAATTTAAGAGTGTAATCACAGAAATAAAGTTCAGTAAAAAAATCTCTTCTGCAACACATAAACAAAACACTACACAAACTATAGAAAAGGAACGTCTAAGAAGATTGAATAACATTGTATGAACCTCTATGCGCTTTTCTACGATCAGGATCAGTAGAGGGGCTGATCTAGCGTTCCGCTCTTGAACATGAGTATGCAAGGTCTATAGTCGCCCATGTCCAGGTATATGAACGTCCCAGAGTCATGGGACATAAAGCAGCCAAATTCAGTTCCAACAATGACGTGCCAACAGGGCCGAAGTTTCTTGTCTATCTCGGTCTTGATGTATTGAGCCATGTGTGTGTACTGGTTGGTCTTCTGATCACGAGCTGTTTGCGTACTCACTTCAAACGAAGCCCCTAACTCAGGAGCCAAAGCTTCCTCCTCTTCCGGTTTGTAAACAAACTTCTTAATCGGGAATTTCTCCCAGGCCTCTTTTGCCAACTCGATGATTTCCTTCTGCAATTCTTCAGTCATGTCGGATTCGAGGACCACACAGTTTATTTGAGGCTTATCTAGTTTATCTTGTTTACTGGTGCTGTGTTCAACCGATATGGTCTCCATCTTGGATGTGTTTTCTTGCAATCACAGTATTGACTTGTACTGTTGTTGGTTTGAAGATGATTATAAATATTTACACATATGTTTGTCAATAACATGTGTTTTGTTATTTTATACTGAACTGTATCCATGGACATACAGGAATAGTTAGTTACTGTTGACAGCTTTAATTATTTGTTTGTATATATACATTCTTCCATTGATTTTCAACGAGACAGTGTGCTTGTGTTTAAGGAAAACAATATTATACTTTTATCCTAGGATATCAATACATAATTTATTACAAATTATTTTTCCTATGGTATGATTGGGGGTTTAAAACCAAAAAAGATATTTTGCAGAGAGTTTTTGTAAACTTTTATCTATAGCTACTTGTACTGTTTACCTTCATTGGTAAAACTATGTAATTAGGTATATAATAGCATCACCCTATTTTGCCAGCTTGCGTGGCATCTTCAGGAAGGCTTCTTTGTGAATGTCAAAGACAAAAAAATCTCACTGTGCTAATAATATTATATATTCTGTGCAGTCTTTATCCAAATGTGCTTTACTTAACAAATGTTAAGTGCTTGTACAATTTGTGTCCAGGTCTCGTAGTGTCCACACGGTCGCCTCATGTCCCAGCCACAGTCGTCCTGTCTCACCGTCGCCCTCCAGTCCAGGACAGGGTGTGCAGAGGGCAAACAGCATCTCCCAGATGCAGGACTCACACACCTACTCAATCTACAGAGACATATCTTGGTGAGTTATCAAACTAGTGTGCTTCCACCATATACGTAAATTGTCGAATCTTGACAGTGTCTTTAGAGAAAATACTGGCTGACGTTTTGGTTCTAGCAATCGCAATCCATCCTCAGCGCAACATACAAATCATTTGATCGATCGTTCCTAAAAACAAGACTCGGGTATACTACAACCTGTTTTTAAAGCATAATTTATTGTTTTAGCAAATTTCCCCATATAGCTTACTGTATTACCATCATTTTAATTAAACTAGGTAAAGTAATGATAACCTACATTTATTCTAAAGAGATTGGACTATGTGGACAGAGGTTTATAGAGGGTTCTATGGGGTAAAAATTAGTTTTCCCATTTTTGATCCTCAAAACATAGAGTTTTCCAATATAACTCTAATCAGTTTTGTAGAGTGCTATGTACACTTGGTGGTAGGCCTATGTTTTAAATTGAATAGTTTAGCTTTGATACAGACTGGGATTAGCTGCTTCTTCAGCCATCCCCATTATTAAACGCCCACCAATTAAGGAAATCTACCAGCACAAGTCTAGCTGATTTTGCTAACTACTGGGCAACATTAAAGAAAACAAAATTTATCTTCCAAAACATTAGTAAACATATTTGCATTTACTATTAACAATGTTACCCAGTAGCTAGCCGTTGTTGTTGTTGTTGTTGTTAGTTGTTTGGTTTCTTACAAATGAACTGGACCAAACTTTAATAGCTTAAGTACTTTTTTTATAATGTTGAGCTTACAATTAATTGGGAAATGTGTGGCGTAAACAACTTCAATCTTTATTCAACAACACCAAAATCATTCAAATAATTTGAAACCCGTTAAAGGAGTTTTACTAGTTTCAGTTATATAAATCAGTGTGCATATTTAAACGTAAAGTAATGGCCTAACAGCTGTTATTGGCCTAACCTATAATTTACAGAACAATGACTTCCGAGTAGCAAACAATAGGCCCATGTCAGTGATCTCTTTCATTTGGAGTTCCCACAAAAATCCTAACGGATCTTTTAAGTGTGAGAAATATAACTTGTAATTATCTTGTCATTTGACTTATCTGATGAATGTTATTTTTAAGCGCTGGTAGAAGAAGACAGTGTTTTAATCTCTTGAAATTTCCATTCATATGTTGTGTTGTCTGAATGTTTCTGCTTTGTTTTGATTTAAGAGATTCAATGTGGATTTAGCTGATACAAAAGATAAACCCTTTTCAAAATAGCAGATCATTAGTCTTGTTTGTTTTTCACTTCCTTCAGTAATTTAGGTTTTTTTACAATTTACTTGAACCAACCCAATGCTGAATGAAAACACAATCTTTGTTGATAATTATCATTTTGGAACATGCTCACTATTTCATCAACCATTTTAACCAAGATATCCTAACAGCAGCAACCCAAAGTACTCATTGCACTAAATCTAATATATTTATACTAAGTAGTGGGTCCTACTTTAACTGTCCTTCTACTATGATTTTATTGGAATAAAACAAAAATAAATTTGCTGATTCATATCAGTTTTGCTACATTAGGGGATTTATATTTAACTATACTTGAATGTTACTTGGTTCTACGACTTTTTGTGTGGGATCTTATACAGTTAACTCTATTAATGAATATTGAACTACCTTAACTTGTTTCTTTACTCAGGAGGAGTCCTAGAAGTGTGGTAGAAGAAGTATCTCCAGATAAACTATCCCAGGAAGCGTTCCGGCTTCTCCGGACAGTGCAGAGTCTCTTGGGTACCCGGGAACCCGACCTGACCACCCGGCTGACACCTACACCCACACCCGCACCTACACCTGATCCCTCACGGGACAGCACTTGGGTGAGTTACAAGTTACAATTGTACAATTTCATTTGTAGTTGCTCTCACTAATGTCTTTGCAACTGATTTTTCCATTTTTCAACTAACACAAAAACCTTTCTGGCTTTTATTAGACGTATTTTTCTTAAAAGTTTAGTAGACTGAACAATAGAGTATAAAAGGTAGTTTCATAAAAAACTGAAACAAGATGTATTGCTACTTGGAATGACTAATGTTGGATGCTACGTCATCCGGGATATGGTTCTGATATAGTAGCCTACAGAGTAAATCTGGGGCCTAATAAATAAACCTCTGAGCAGTATAAGCAGTGGTTCAAGTACTAATGAGTGGGATTGGGGAACGAGCTGGCGTAAGTTTTATCTAAGTGATAATGCCGCAACCCCTAGGTCTAGCCTGAAGTAATGTGAAAAACAATCCCAGGCTCGTGCCTAGCGTCCTAGGACAAAAAAAAAACTAAGAGTGGCATTCATGTCTTGATGGCCCAAATTGCTTTTAGTTGATACTTTTCCTCCTAAGTATTTATTTATTTATTTGAGATATCAAAAACACTGTCAAGCATCCAACTGTAAGCATGTTTTTTGTATTTCTAACATTTTTACTCTGAAGATTGCCAGTTGTCGACACAGTTTTAAGGGTTAGTGCTCTAGGTAGCTGAGGTAGTAACGTGACCTACTTCACCACACAAAACATTGTATTGTACATTATTGCTGATTATCTAGTAAATTAACTGTCAACAAATGTAGTGACACTATGAGACATTTGACATGTACAGTATTCCTGCCTACAGTCCAAGACTGCTCAAGTCAAAGTCTGCTCTTTTACGCCTGGTCTTGAAATATTTTAACTATAGTACAAGTTTACAAACACTTTTCAAAAGCAACATTTACAGTATAAATTTGTTATACTTGAGTTGGTTAAAACTTAAAACTAATAGACCCATCAGAATTCTGAAGGCTTTTCTTTGTTTGCAGAAGAATTCATAACATCAGTGTTTCAGCCTGGATTCCAGGAATGAACTGATTTCCTTAAACTCTTAAAGTAGGTTTATTTCTTGAAACTTTGCTGTTCGCTTCATGAAGCACTGCAATTTTTGGCTGGTTTGATTTTTGCTTCTTATGATTTAATGCTGACAAGATTTATATCTAACAAAGCTTTTTCAAGCCGTCTTAATTACAATGGCTTTTAACTTTAATATTTTTGTTTATAAATTACGGCAAGTCAATTACTGTTTAGTAATAGAAGATCACAGGTAAGTTTGTAAAATAGAGCTTATAACATTTAAAACCTTAAACTTTTCAGTCTTCCAAGATACACCTTAATAGTATTGCATCTGACTAAATCCTTTCACATGCACTAACTTACCATTCATGAAAAATATAATCTCACACTAAGGCCAAGGAGGCGAAGACACATAAAGTTCATCATTTTGAACACCCTCAAGAAATTATAAACAATTAAACGTAGAAACCCTAAATAGCTATTCACACGTCACCATGATAAAGGATGCTCCATACTGAAAAGCATCTAATTTTAAACAATTTTTCAACTCATATTTCTAAATTTCCAAATCCCCTCAACAATATTTTTTTGTTTGAAAGTAAATTTACGTATGCATTTTTTGTGCCCTCTACAATCTTTCTTTGTTCATTTTTGTTGTAATTTTTCTATAATCTTTTGTATGTTGTAGTGCGTCGGAAGCTGCAGTTCGCTGTCTTGCAGCAGCCAACGGAAGTCTCTTGACGCATCGTCGTGTTCGTCTCGCGCAGAGGGAGAGGAGGGAGGAGACGTTTGTACGCCGCAGCTAAGCGTTGGCTCAACAGAAGACGAGAGTGGCTTTTCCTCCATGAGCAGCTTCCATGAAGTTGGACTCCCAGAAGTCAGGACTTATCCCGACGTCGGTCTTCCGATAATTGAACCGTCCCACAGAAGATGGAGTTCGACTCCTGTTGAAACTCAATCTTTTCAAACAAACTCATCTATAAGAGTGTTATGGGTGTGAAATGAGATGTCCCAAGGAACTCTGAAAGATCTTCCATGAAGAACCTGGATTGAATTGCCTCAAGAAAGAACTTTAAAGGTTCAGTCAGAACTTTAAGTAAAAGTTTTTGTGAGTTTCCAGTATGTTTTGAAAGCTGGTGCTGCTGTGCGTTATTAACAAAAGCGACAGTGCCATAACTTGCTTTCAAGGAAGCATTAAATCAATTGGGCTGGGATAGCTTTAGATAGGGTAAAATATTTTGTTTTGGAAAGTTTTCTGTTCTAAGAAAAACATAGATTGACTAGCAAATTTTTATTGGTTTCTAAAATAATGTGACATTATTATGACACACAGTAATACTTGACTTTATGCAGGGAAACATGAGTTTTTTAAATTGTCAATGATTCAGCATTGCAACCTCAAAAATGCTTTTAAAACTTAAATGAACTCATGATCTCATTAATTTTATCCCAGCTCATATTATTTTTTTTTATAATTATTGATTAGTTAACAATTGTGTTTTCATTTAGTATTTTACTTGTAGCGTAACAAATTAAATTATTACACAAATTAGTGTGATATTTGTTTACAGTTTTTCAAGTTGTACAAAATATTAAAACTACTTTTAGATGTAAAAAAAATTATAAGTGCTATTATAAAGTAGTTTTGATCAGTCTTTGAGTTAATTTTTTCCTCTTCCATCATTTTATTTGTTATAAGATAAAACCTTATAAGAGATATCAAATAAATTACACAGGATGTAACCAATGACCACTACCTATTGTAGCTAAAATTAAATGTATTACGGAAATCATAATATCTTTGTGAAATGTGGGAACTGTCACTTGCTAACCATTTTAGTGTCACACAGAGGAACTCTCACTATCACTGGTACTGTAGTATTTTTACTCCACACTACACTATTTTGACGAGCTTCCCATGCAAGGTTTAGTCCAGAAAACAGCTGTTTGTCGCCAGCTTAATCAAATGGGGTTTCATTACATACTACTGTACTGTAATTGTTTTACCGTACACCAACCAGCTGATTATACTGTATTTGGCCGTTGGCGCTGAGCGGTTATAAACAAAAAGATACCTTCTCTTAGAGGTTATGACTAGTGATTGTTAGTCCTTTAGTTGGTAGTAATATAAGGATTTGTACAGATTTAGTAGTATGGCGTAAACTATCGTACATCACTCGTCTGTTAAACACTTATTTTCATGACTACTAACGATATATATTATATTTCTGTATTGAGAGACATAGAGACAAATTGCAGTAAGGTTTGAAATCTGTGTGGTCAGAAGACAGTTGCCCAAAATGTTAGATCACCACCACCAGATGAAGGAAAAAGTTAAAAAGACAAAAGATAGGTGCATTGTAGTGGGTTTTGTTTAAAATTGGTTTCTTGTTATTTCAGTCGTTTGAAACCGCATTAAACCAAATAAAACGATCCAGGAATCACAAACAATAACTCGTTCCCTAGTTAACCAAATAGCAAAGCACAAATTATGAAATTAACCATCAAATAAAAGGAACAAAATTGCGTCAACACTAGCGATCAGTGTCACCGGACATGAACTAGCGAGTAAAACAAGCTTCAACCTTTACAATGGGATGAGAAGTTACTTGTGTTGGTCTATAATCATGATGAAAGGAAATGATATAGGTGTGATAATCCTATCATAGGCTAACATCACCCAGATTGCAAACAGAAGATTACCTGATTGTAACTGCCTTATAAGTTAAAAATTTGTTTTGATTTTATTGTTTTTGGTTTTATAAATTTTCTAAATAGTGAAATGTTGTTTGCAATCTGGGTGACGGGAATTCACACATATGTTTTTCCTCCCACCATGGTCTATGATTATACTCTTAGTTGCAATGTTAGGGGAATGCACACGGCTGATTTAACCAGCTGTGTTAATCATTGTACTGCACAGTTTCATGCATTATGATCTCCAGTTGTACTTGTCATTTGAACCTAGTTCCATGAAGGAGGCCATTGTTGAGATCAATACTGATCTGGAGAACATCTCCAAATGGTCTCACAATAAGGCGGGTCCACATGCAAGGATTTCACGTACATTTTATCTGCGCAGGATAAAACGTTTCAGTCAAGTCGTTGCAAAGAAATGTGTCCACACTGTACAGGTTTCAGCACCAACTTTTAATGTAGTTTTGTGATAACTTTCAGTGTATTTGCATGCAATATCATGGAAGATGTGTTACTGTGGTCAATCTCTGCAGTCAGTGTTAGAAGAAAGCAAAGAAATAAGTTAGAGTGACGCCGGCGCTCACTATGGTCAAGACGTTGGTTACTAAAAATACAAACAATTTCATAATAGTTTCTCGCACGTTCGAATCTACTGCTTTGTATTTTTCAAAAGTCTCTAAGCCTGATTCTTCTTATCACAGTCGCTATTTTCCTTACTCTTGACCCTCCATAAATAAGGAAAACTTCTGTACAGTTCGATGAATTTAACACGGGACAATTTACAATCACAAAAATTTTTTTTCACGGGAATTTTGCGAAGATTTGCTATTGTTATTAAAAAACATACTTATCCCTCTGACAACTCGTGAAAACAACACTGCAGACTGGGTTTTAAGCGTGAAAACAGAGTTGAAATGGATGACAGTGTACATACCTAAAGACTTGTCTGAAAACGTTGTTAAAACTATGCTCTCCTCAATAGTTTTATGTCTCCGTCTTCCGTAATCGCGCAGTTCTAAAAAATGCACACGTTCTGGTAAAACGTACCAGAGAAATCCTTGATGTGTGTGGCCTTTAATGGACTCAGGCTCAACACCCAGACAAGTGCACTATACTGCATATTGCCCCTGTGAACCTAAGTACAGGCGTGGTGGTATAACACTACATGGAAGAATATAAGTCTATAGTAGTGGTGTGTGTAACTAAACCAAGACTCTACTGACTCTTGCCATCATTATTATCATTATCAGGTGAGATGGGGACGCAACGTAGGTGCGTATTTTAACCCAAATGTAGAATAAAGTGAGATAATGTGTAGCTTTGTTACTGACCGAAATCAGCTGTTAATTTAATGCTCAATGATCAGGGACAGCTGGCCGGGTCCAGTTTCGAACCATCAAAATCTACTGACTTTTTTCAGGATCGATCCGGCAACTTTGACACTATTGACAAAATGATTTTCAGATGATTTCTCTCGACATGCAATAGAATAGAACACTGAGAACTCTGTATGGGTTCAGAGATATGCTCTCTTGGACTGCAAAGCTTCAACTTATGCACTTATGCAGTCACTGATACTGTCAGTATTTTACTGCTGTTTTCCTGCATATATATACATATATCTATCTACAGTATCACTAGCGAAGACATTATAGCCATACTGTGGATTAAAAACTTATCGATATGATTTTTATTCTGCCTGACAAAACTTAATCATGTATCTCCCTTCCATGAAGCATCCAATTTGTAATTTGTTGCCTATGGAAGCAGTGTGCTGGTTTTTGACGTGCTGCATGACACACAGAGTATTGACCCTTTGAATGCAACTCCCATTTCTGTAAAAAGTACGGTTCAAAACTTACTGTAAATTATGTTATTTTCCCATAAAGCCCCCCATAAAATCACGAAAAATAGGATTTTAGAAAAAAATCCAGTTTTGATTTAACTTAGTATGTTAATTACGGTCGTTAAAATTTTGAACGTTTTCAAATTTTTTTAAAGTTTTGATTTTTAATGGGGATTTTACCATAAAACTCCATAAAATAGCCGAAAAATTAGATTATCTCAAAAATGGCCTAAAAGATTTTCTTAAAAATTTAGTATGTTATAGTCCTTTAAATTCTGAACAAAATTATGCAAATCCCATTTCCATAAAAGTTATTGTAACTCATGTTATTTTCCCATAAAAAAAAACAATAAAATAAAAAAATCTTATTTTTGGAGAAAAGCTGGTTTTGATCAAAATTAATATGTTATGGTCCTTATAATTCTAAAAAAATAGTACAACACCCCATTGCTGTAACAATTACGGTTCAAAAGTTATTGTAACTTTTGTGGTTTTTAACTATAAAATATCTTATTTACTACCTATCACCGCTTACTCGGGTGCATGATAAAAAGTTGTTGACGAGCTTATGGGAGAAAGTATGTACTAGAATGCTGATACCGTTTATTGATGATTAGCTTTTTAATAGTGGTCAGGATTTAAAAAAAAATTACCCCCACCACAGCAAACCTGCAGACAAAGCGAATTTCAACTTGTCTGATTACATTTTTACTATCATCTTTCCATAAATAAGACACATTTTTATTTCCCAATTTAAATAACATTTTAATTTAACGAGTGCTTAGGTTTGCTGCTACGAGGAAGGTAAAAAGTGATTTTTGACCATATGTCCAATAGTATAGGATGAAATAAACAAAATTTGCCAAATTTGATCAACGTATATCCATAAACAAGTAAACTAGGTACAACGGTTTTCATTTTCTCCATAAGAATAACATGGGAATTTAAAATTACACTTTTTTGAATTTCCTCAGTGAACGTTAGGCATACCACAGCGGTTCAATATACTAAATCATTTCTTTTTTTAAGCTCTACAAAATGGTTATAAAGAAAATGCAAAATTCTTTGTTTTTAAAGGTCAAAAATGAGAAAACCCCATTTTTACCCCATAAGGCCCCCCATAAACCCCTGTTCCCATCATCCGATTAGCGATTATCCTGGTTCGCAAACTCGTTTGAATAAACGTAGGTTTACAGGTTTGTACCGAATTTAATCCAAATCGGATCATTTTTGCTTGAGTTATCGCGCTAACGGACACACACATATATAGATTTGGATGAAATTCGGTACAAACCTGTAAACCTACGTTGCATTTGAACGGATGGTGTTTTTTGGCCTATGGGAACTTCAAAACCAAAAAGTAAATCGGTCCAGTTTAGGTCTTACCATGAGACCTACGGTAATAGCTTTTTCCCTATATAAGAAACTAGCTGTAACCCGCGGGCTTTGCCCCGTTTAACTTCTTAATTTTCAAGATGATCTCGTTCGCATGGCTCAATCACGTCCTGGTTGAAGTTCGTTCGCTACGCTCACTCACCTTTAGGTTGGAGCTCGTTCGCTACGCTCACTCACCTTTAGGTTGGAGCTCGTTCGCTACGCTCACTCGCCTCCAGTTCAAGTTCGTTCGCTACGCTCACTCACATTTTGGTTGCAAATTAGCTGTTGTCATAAATGTAAAAGAAATAGTAGTGCTGCACCCTGTTGGTAATCCTTGTAACTTTAATGCTATTGAACATCAACAGAACCAACTTGTTTAATTGAAACAGCTGTTAAGATTCATTAATTCCATTTCTCATAAGGTTAACATGGGAAACTTCAGAGCCACTGGGGCGGAGCCCTTTTGACGGATCTGCACCAAACTTCACACAAACCTTCCTTGAATAATGCTTAATAATGCCTGAAAGTTTCATTACAATCTGTCGAGCGGTGTCCGATTTTATCCCTGCCAAACAAACAAACAAATATATATACAAACATCCTCTTTTATACTTATAGATTTGCTAAAAACAGCTGCTGATCTGAGTAAGTAAAGCTACACATTCCATTCCACACTCACCCCTGCAAATACATGCACAAATTAGCCTACTATATATTATACTAGCTGTACCCGCGGGCTTTGCCCCGTTTAACTTCATATGTGAGCTCGTTCGCATGGCTCAATCACGTCCTGGTTAAAGTTCGTTCGCTACGCTCACTCACCTTTAGGTTAGAGCTCGTTCGCTGCGCTCACACGTCCTGGTTGAAGTTCGTTCGCTACGCTCACTCACCTTTTGGTTTCAAATTAGCTGTTGTCATAAATTAAAAAAAAAGTAGTGCTGCACTCTGTTGGTAATCCTTGTAACTTTAATGCTATTGAACATCACAGAACAGAACCAACTTGTTTAATTGAAACAGCTGTTATGATTCATTAATTCCATTTAAATATGAGTACTCATTAGGTTAACATGGGAAACTCCAGAGCCACTGGGGCGGAGCCCGAGAGTCCGATCAGAATAAAAACCACTCAGTTTTCCTATTTAATGCCTAAAGAATCAGTGTACCAAATTTCAGCCTCCTAGGTAAGTGGGAAGTGGGAGAATTAGTGATGAGTGAGTGAGTCAGTCAGTCAGTCAGTCAGTGAGGGCTTTGCATTTTATATATATAGATTATTATTATAAATATAACTTTAATGCTATTGAACATCATAGAACAGAACCAACTTGTTTAATTGAAACAGCTGTTAAGATTCATTAATTCCATTTCTCATAAGGTTAACATGGGAAACTCCAGAGCCACTGGGGCGGAGCCCTTTTAAGAATTTCGAAACGGGAAATAGTTTACGTCCGATTCGCATACCTACAGAATTTACACACCAAATTTCATAACGATCGGTGAAGTCGTTCCGGAGGAGTTTGCAGACACTGTGACACGAGAATTTTATAATATATTAGATTTATAAAAGAGGAAGTTTGTATATATATATATATTTGTCACGTTGTCAGGGTTGTAGGGTATGTCAAATTACTCAAATTTGTATATGTATTTTTTTATTTGGTTGTTATTGTTTTTATTATTATAAAAAAAATGGAAAAAAATGCATACTAATTTGACAGTTACAATGAGGTGATCTTTTGTTTGCAATCCAAGTGACGTCAGAATTATGATGGGGATAGCACACATATGTTTTTTCCTTCCACCTCGGTGGGGTGTATTACTCTCGGGAAGGTCTCGTGGAGAGGAGCAGAGAAAAACCTCAGGAAACTATTTTTTTTTATAAAAAGATAAATCATTTCCTAACTAGTGTCATACTAGCATTTTGAAAAAGCCCCTAGAAAATTGTGTTGATGAGATAGTGCGGCTACATGGTAGTTAAACCAAGCCAGCTCTATTATAGCAAACTAGAAAACGAAAACAAAAAGAAGAGAGGAACAGAGGATGGGAGATGGATGGACTGATGGAGCCGGTGAGCACTTTTTCACCTCAAATTAGTTGACAAATATCGAAACTGGAAAATCGATACTTTTACAGCTCGACTGTTTTTAGAATTTAGTACATCGCGATATCGATAGTCCACTCCCACTCCATCCATTGTCCATTCCCGTTCTCCTTTGCCTTTGACTTGTGTTGTGACTTAAAAAACGGTTTGAATTTAATAATGGTAGATCATTAAAGAAAGGAGAGAACATATAATTGTAGCGCCTAGGGACGTAATGTCAATTTTTGAAGAGAATACATAAATTTGTTAATACCTTACGAACAAATTCTTCTTCTGTTTCTATTCATCAGTAGGCCTAGATAGTAATGGGAATAAAATTCAATGTCAACAGTTGAAAAGATTATTGCTAAAGTTATGTTCATCACGGGACCAGAATTAGTTTTAATCAAAACAGAATATCATCAGATGGAGGCCATTTCTATTACATAATTTGTATTATTATTGTTAGTATCAACCCAGCTCTTGTAAAAAATGCAAAATGCCTCCTTCCTGAGAGGGAGTGTAATTTACTCTTTTCCTTGCTTAAGACTAATAATTTTAAAGCTTAATGATGAATTAAATATTTGCCAAAATTATGACCTTGCTTACAGTTATTAGAAATTTTATACCTGATTCCTTCATTAATCTTATTTTTTGTCTGGAGGTCGATATGATTATAGTACTCAAGAGAGTATTGAATTGAATGTAACTGTAACTTATTTAGTTATTTAGTATCAATTTATTCAGCTCAAGGGGTCTATTTGAGTTCCATCTAAGCAATGATAAATCATGTTTATTTTCGGGCCAAAAACGTCATTTTTTAATGTTTATGATCCATACTGGTATTTTTCTAGTAATCGTGCTTTAAGTCAGTCTCAGTCAAACCAATAAAATTTACTCCGATTCCTATTCGATTACTCTAAAACAATCGAGCCAATCGAGCGGTAAAAGTATCGATTTTCCAGTTTCGATATTCGTCAACTAATTTGAGGTGAAAAAGTGCTCACCGATGGAGCCTTGGAGCCGATGGGGATGGAGGAAAAGAGGAATCTAATCAGAATCATTCGAATTTCGATTTCGAATTATCCGTTGTTACTTTTACCTTTTACCATGACCATGACGACGTTCGATAGCCTAACCTAACCTAAACCTAAGATCAACCTTTTTAAATTTGTCTTGTTTGACATTATATTCTGTTGCATTAATCATTAATATCATATAGGCCTAAGTTTGGAATATAGCCAATTAATAGTAGGTATACAGTAGTTGTAACCATGTGCAGTTCAGAAAGGAAACTAGGCCCATTCCCGACCAAACTGGACCAGAAATTTGTAGATGAATAACTAAACACGGGTAAGTTATGAGCTGAGGTATATCTCCCCTATTTATAGAGGAAAATTAGTAGAAGGCCTAACTTAGTTTGGTAGGTGTATGGCTCTGGGGAGTGGGATTTTCCCCTTGAAACCCTTTATTTTGCAATGGAACAAAGTAAACCTTAAAAGCTTTACACCACTGTCAACGATTTCATGGGACACTGACCACGTTAAATGCTTTTCTTAGATCACACTAACATGTTCAGCAGGACTGAGTCCTTGGCTTCAATCAAAAGCATCTGCGATTTGGTCGACCATGCTAACCAGGGCTGTCATGGTAGATTGTCCTTTAAGAAAGTCATGTTGGGCATTTATAAGTACTAAGTAGCCTATTTGACTCAAAATAATCAATTAGTTTTACAGACTATCTTTAAAATGAGAGCAGGCACAGTATGGCAATAGGTCTTAAGTTTGACAGCTGTGAGAGGTCACCTTTTATAAAGATGGGGATGGCCCGTGCAGTCTTAAGCAGCCAGGAAAACAGCAATTTCTCAAACAAGGTACTTAATCATATTCGTGAGAGGATAAAAAATAGCGTTGATAAAAATGATTTTTACTCCTGAGTAAAAATGCTAAACTTACTTTAGACCCGCAACACATACATTAAAAACAGCTGTTTTTGCTGCAGTATGACGAAAAAGTATTTTAATACCTGGTGATTATTATATGGACACCAGGGGCCCATTTCATAATAAACTACAAGTTACAAGTTACAACTTGTAACTTGTAATTTCCATTAGATTTGCATTGGGCGATCAGCTGATTTACTAATAATATTAGTTTGTACTTTATTATGAAATGGGCCCCTGGTCCTATAACTTACAAGCTTAGATTACGGTAGGCCTACAGTGCACAAATTTTAATGGCATTAATGGTTCAGATTTTCATTAAATATTATGATAATCTAGATCTACTCAGTACAGTACAGTACGTATATTTTCGCAACACTAACTTGCTGTGAAATTACATGTTTTCATTTCATGTTTATCAGCTGCGAAAATCCATCATTAACTTACATTGTTTACTACAGCAAAAGACTGTTAACCATGTGAAAGTAATGTTTACTGTAGGCTACCTGGATTTTGCCGACGTAAACAAACAAATATATGTTATTAATTTATCAACTGTTTCAATGTTCAAAATTAATAAAAAATGCTATGAGTTTTGTAATGAAGAAAACAATTATCTTTTGCAGTGTAGCGAAAAGTAACGTTCAAAACACGAGTGAAATTGGGCCTTTACACAGTGGCAGTTCCAAAGGGGGGGGGGGCTACAGGGGCTAAAGCCCCACCCTTGGACCCTGAAAAAATAAATTTAAACGTACATTTTGTCCTTAAAACACGCGATGTCTTAAAACAGACATCATCAATGTAGTTTTTATTCATCTTAATAAGCGATGGCAGGAGTATTATTAAGTTCCACATGGATAAACTTTTTGGACAATAGCGTTAACGAATAAGACAATATTATGCTATGGAAAGTTGTATGCATCATCCAATTTTTACAGCAGTCAGCTGTTGACATGCTAGGCAAAGGCGAGCGAGGACGTAGAAACAGCTGATTTCCTGATGTTCCATAGTTAGTTGTCAAATTGTCTGCTAGACACTAACTTTACAAAGGCTTCAATCAGCAATCAGCGGTTTTTAGCACCAGTAGCCTATTATCATTGACTATATAAACACTAGTGTTAAAGTATATAGCCTAGTCAATGCTATTACTGGATTCGATAATATACATATTCTGACAGATTTATGAAATGGAGAAAAACTTAAGGTTAAAAAACGTTTCCACTTGCTTGCATGACATATATAGGCCTAACAGGTGAAATGGAAGGTTTTAAAACAATTGGGCACAGTTTTAGCCGTTAGAAATGGCTTTATAAAGTCACCATACGGCTTTTAGGAGATATAGCTTTGTAGTCTACAGTAGGGCCTATGTTTTGAAATTCATGAATGCAAGTTCGTCATAGTTTGATTTTTAAAATGTCTACTTGCTCATGACAATGACAATTAACAGGTGAAATGGGAGCTTTTTGGACAGTTGGACACAGATATAGGACATTAACATTAATAATGGCTTTAGAAAGTCAGTAAACAGCTTTTAGGAGGATATGGCCTTAGCCTACAATATGTTTTGAGATTTATAAATGCAATCGTCATAGTTAGTTTTAAAAATGTCTACTTATTCATGACAAATAAATGGGGAGGGGAGGTTTTACACTCAGTTGTAGACGTTAAAACTGGCTGTAGAAAGTCACCCAACGGCTTTTAGGAGGATATGGCCGTAGTCTAAAGTGTGTTTTGAAATTCATGAATGCAATCGTCATAGTTTAATTTTTAATATGTCTATTAACTCATGACATACAACAACAATAACTTGGAGTTTGACAAAATGGGAGTTTATGGACAATTGGTCACGGTTTTAAGTGTTAAAAATGGCTTTAGAAAGTCACCAAACTGCTTTGAAAATTCCAAATTTTCCCGGGGGAGGACCTCAGGACCCCCCTGCTTTATTGGGGGATGCTCCACACCCACCAATCCCCCCGGTAGCCCCCCCCCTTGACAAGGTCCTAGAACCGCCACTGCCTTTACATATTCTCGATCATTTGTAATGACTTACTTTCTACTCTATAGCCTAAATATACTATTGTAATGCTTTGAATTGATTGTTTAGACTGAATAAACAAAAACTATCCTGGATGATTACAACAAATGTATATATTTAATGAAATTATGATATTTTTCAGGAGAAGTAATAGATTTGAAGAGGAAAAGGAACTTCAATTCATGCCGCAAGAAAGATAACTTACATTATCTGTTATAATACTTAGAACAACGTTTAAATCAATTAAGTGTTTTCTTCTCTAAAAGTGCAATTTAAAGTAAGTAATTAACTATGTAAAACTTAAACTATACACTTAATTTATATAGTTGATGCAATATTATTTGGGCAAGAAATTAAACAAAGAAGCAAAGTCCTTATAAATAAGTAGGCTGATTCAGGCCTTATATTAAAGTTGATTTATAGGCCTACACACATAACTGTTAAAACATTTAACAAATCAAACAGAAATAGACATTCAAAACCAACTGACTGATTCCAATTAGTTTCTAGCATGTCTAAAAGGTTATGTCAGAAATTGAATACTAAAAACATGTTAAAGATCACTAAAAAGCCTCCCCTTGAGTGTCCAATATGTAGACAAACTTTTTCAGCTGAATATACAATGAAGTGTCATATATATTTACACACAGGCGAGCGTCCCTTTAGATGTTTGGCATGTGAGAAAAAATTTATTCAAATAAGCCATGTGAAGTGTCATTTGTTGACACATTCTGGGAAGTGTCCTTTTAAGTGCACTAAATGTGAAAAATCCTTCACAACCAGCGGCCATTTGAAGAGTCATACATTAGTTCACACCGTAGAGCGACCTTATAAGTGCACTACATGTGGAAAACCCTTCAAAACTAATAAAGATTTGAAGCGACATACATTGGTTCACACCGGAGAGCGACCTCATAAGTGTACTACATGTGGAAAATCCTTCGCAACCAATTCAAAAATGAAGCGACATTCACTGATTCACACAGGGGAGTGACCTCATAAGTGAACTATATGCGGAAAATCATTCACATTCAGCAGAAATATGAAAAAACATACATTGGTCCACACCGAAGAGCGACCTAAGTGCGCTAAATGTGGAAAATCCTTTAAAACGAAGGACTGTCTGAATTAACATTCTTTAGGTCATACCAGAGAGCGACCAAAAGTGCACTACATGCATAAAATCCTTTAAAACCAACAGCCTATATTAGGAAAACTGCAATATATTTAATGAAACATTGATCATTGTACAGCGAGGTGTTTTCCTAATAATGTTCACTTAGGCTATAGGATTTTTTTTTAATTGGTAGGAGACCAAAATATATATATTTTTTTTAGATTCCTTATTAAACTTTTAAATGAATTTATTAAATTTAGTTTATGAAAATTGAGAAGGTCAAGGAAAACATAGCAATTAATTACAAGGTTTACGAAGTATATCTTAAGTACGAGGCATGTTTATTAAGTAGGTAATTACCGTTTTTAAATTTCTCCGTTTCAGCACTGCGATCTTGGCATTTTCGACATTTGCGCTGTGTATGGGCATCTTTTGGTAAGACCTAGCCGGAAATTCAAGAAAAATCGGCCGTGATTACATCCGGTTTTGAGCATTCAAAATGGTGCGCCAATTGAGACTGCCGCCGACTGTGAAGTGCGCGCTGTAATTAGATTTCTAAGTGCTAAAGGTGTGAAAGCCATTGAAAATCATCGACAGATTAGTGAAGTGTATGGCGAGAACATTATGAGTGCCATAATGGTACGCAAGTGGATAAGGGCATTTAAATACAGCCCAACCAACATTTATGATGAGCAACGCACTGGGCAGCGTCATTACTGGCCCCGTACCCAGTGCGCTGCTCATCATGAACGTTGGTGGGGCCGTCTTAAAATGCCCTTACCTACTTGCGTACCATTCCACCACTCGTTATGTTTTAGCCATACATTTCACTAATCTGCCGATGATATTTAATAGCTTGCACACTTTTAGCACTTACTTAAAAATCTAATTACAGCACGCACTTCACAGTCGGTGGCAGTCTCAATTGGTGGCACCATTTTGAATGCTAAAATCCGGATGTAAACTTGGCCGATTGTTCTCGAATTTCCGGCTAGGTCTTACCAATAGATGCCCATACACAATTTCTTGCATAACACTTCCATCAAAAAAAAGATATTTCTGCAACTTCCTGGTAAATAGTGTCCTTTAAGATCCATCAGAGTTTGGGGTTTGTTCAGAGAAACGTCTCCACAAAAAATTCACACACGCACAAATCTCTTAATGTGGAGGCTACAGAATACCACGGGAACACAAAATAAACCCTTTATAGGAACCTCTAATACACATCAAGGCCATTGAGTCCTGAGTTGTATTAAAGGTCAATGGTAGAATGTACGGTGGATCTTGTTGCAAATAAACAAAGGTACATTTTGTTTATCAAACGTCTTACCTGTGACCTAAAACAGTTCTTGACCACATCAACACATTGTATTCAATTCCTCAATTTGTATTTAAAGCTTGCCAAGCCCTTTAAAAATGTACTATGTGGGAAAGTTATTTTTTCTGCCAAGCAGCCTTTTTTTTCGGATGGATCCTCTTTTCCTCAAAATTTTAACCTACTTGAGAATTTATTTTAGCTGAGAATTTATTAAATCATGACGTCTAAGATGAAAGGGAACTAATAAAAAGTCCCTGCGCTGCCGTGATGGGCACGACATTTCGCACATTTTCACAAAAGTCAAACGTTTGGTGTTTATTATCTAGTGCTCCATGACTAATAAAATAAGTTTTTTACATACATATAACAACTTGAATACAGGGTGTTTTTTTTTTACGCAACACAAATAATTACAAGTATTGTGAGGTTGATTACTATATTGAATTTATATTAAATCTTAAATTAGGATAAACCTACATTAGTTACATGTCTCGCAAAGTTACATAAACTAACTGATATATTGATTTAAGTATATTTGTTAATTGTTGTATCACTAGTGAAAATTAAAAGGTATTAACTGCTTGAGTGTTTGACCTTATTTAGGTATTGTAGTTGAACTGTATTCCACCTACCTAGTGATAATCCCTCTTCTTCACCCTACACCATTCGGCTCATTTTTATTCTATAAAAATTTAAAAAAAAATGACAATTTGCTCCTTGTATAAAATAAACAGTCAAGCTTAACATACTGAAAAAAACTACATCAGCCATGTTATCCGTCTTAAGAGCTATTATATCAAGAGCTTTCTTTTTAGGGATCTCAAAGTATGCATAAAAATGGAGGTGGACACAAATATCTGTTCTTTATTAAACATCTCATGATTTAATTTTAATCTGTATACCTAGAAAAAACTATAGCTCAAAGTGCAGAAGAAGTTATTACCATGGATGTAACATCACCTTACACCTCATTACATTATTCATTATTTCATTATTGGAGCTCATTACACCTTTAGTAGATTTCCCATTCTTATGGATCAGCTGAAGACAATTTTATTGTTAGTTCTGTCGACCACAGTAAATGAGCAATTTTGTTTAAGGATAAAATGAAACCGTTATAACCTAACCTAACCAAACTTGCTGATTATGAAAAAAATTAATGAAGGTTTAATAATCTAATCAATAGGTATTAGTTTTCAATCGATATTAGGGTAGTCCAGTTAAGAAACTGTACCCGGTCTCAGTTACATCCTGCCCACTACACCCTTTTCCAATAATACTCCTCCCCCAAATCACTCTTACGCTCTGAAGAGTCAAACGGCACTCAGGCCTATCTGACGGTTTTGACAGTTTGTAATCCCCACGGCAAAGAATAGAACAGCACTCGTTCCGTTTCCCGATGTTGTCAGCTGTCCACTTTTTCAACCCATATACCTATTTCTATTTTTATTTGTTGAATACACCAAAGTGAAAGATCCCCTCTAGACAAATTCGGTATCACAAAACAAAAATGTGGATAAACTGTAGGTACCGGTACCATGGTTGCCATGAGCTGTGTGGGTTATTAAATAACAGTCCTTTCTAAGGAACATGTTGGGCTTAGTCACTCACTAACAAGACTACAAGATCATGCAGCTCTTCCTACACTCTTCTGTATTCATACTTTGCTTATAATACCTACCTTCGTATGGTCAACATTTTATTTAAAAGTATTAAAGTATTTTAAAACAAAATGCAGTGTAAAGTTTTAAAATAATTGTTCAAGCAAAATAAACATAAAAATACCTTATGATTACAACAAATGTGTATATTTCATAAAATATGGTATTTTTTTCAGAAGAGGCAATAGATTTGAAGAGGAAAGGAAACTTCAAATCATGTCGCAAGAAAGATTATACAGTATTAAAAATCTGATGTACTTAAAACAGCCCCTAAAAAAATAAGATGTTACCACTCTAGAAGTGCAAATTAAAGTCAGTAATCAACTGCGTAAAACATAAATTTAAATTATACACAACTTGAATATGGCTGATGCAATATTATTTGAAGAAGATTAAACCTAGAAGCAAATTTTTCTTTTTAATAAGAAGACTAGTTTGACGTGGAAGACTAATTTGACATGATGGGACATAAAAGTCAAGCAAAAAAAATCAAATTTGCTTCAAGTAAGCTATGCTGTAGACATTTATTACAAAACAATATTTGAGCAAGAGTTGTATTAAAGTTGATTGATTCTTGTATATCAAAGATGAACAACAGAAGTAGGCATACAAAGCCAACCGAGTAATTAATTCTAATTCTAGCAAGTCTTTAGAGTTAGAAGTAAGAAATTAAAAACTACGATGTTTAAGAACACTAAAAAACCTTCCCTCGAGTGTCCAATATGTAGGAAAATGTGTTCAACTCTATTAGGAATGAAGGGTCATATATATTTACACACAGGTGAACACCCCTTTAGATGTTTGTCATGTGAGAAAACATTTCTTCAACTACGTCATGTAAAGTCTCATTTGTTGACACATTCTGGGAAGTATCCTTGTAAATGCCCTAAATGTGGAAAATCCTTCACATCCAGTAGCAACATGAATAGGCATGCATTGATTCATACAGGAGAGCGACCTCATAAGTGCATTATATGTGGAAAATCCTTCCAAACCATTACTAGAATGAAGGAACATACATTGGTTCACACAGAAGAGCGACTTTATAAGTGTACTATATGCGGAAAATCTTACAAAACCAAGAACAGTATAAAAATTCATACATTGGTTCACACCGGAGAGCGACTTTATAAGTGTACTATATGTGGAAAATCATTTAAAAGCAAGCAATGTTTGAAGCAACATACATTAGTTCACACAAGAAAGCAAACTCATAAGTGCACTACATGTGGAAAATCCTTCATATTTAGCGGGCATTTGAAGATTCATACATTGGTTCACACGCTACTTTTACTTGTGGAAAATTATTCCAAACCAGTAGCCATGTAAAGAGACATAAATTAGTACACACCGGAGAGCGACGTCATAAGTGTAACATATGTGGAAAATCCCTTCAAACCAAGAACGCTATGAACATTCATACATTGGTTCACACAGGAGAGCGACCTTATAAGTGCACTACATGTGGAAAATCCTTTAAAAGCAAGCAATGTTTGAAGCAACATACATTAGTTCACACAAGAAAGCAAACTTATAAGTGCACTACATGTGGAAAATCATTTAAAAGCAAGCAATGTTTGAAGCAACATACATTAGTTCACACAAGAAAGCAAACTCATAAGTGCACTACATGTGGAAAATCCTTCATATTTAGCGGGCATTTGAAGATTCATACATTGGTTCACACGGGAGAACGACCTTATAAGTGCTCTACTTGTGGAAAATTATTCCAAACCAGTAGCCATGTAAAGAGACATAAATTAGTACACACTGGAGAGCGACGTCATAAGTGTAACATATGTGGAAAATCCCTTCAAACCAAGAACGCTATGAACATTCATACATTGGTTCACACAGGAGAGCGACCTTATAAGTGCACTACATGTGGAAAATCCTTTAAAAGCAAGCAATGTTTGAAGCAACATACATTAGTTCACACAAGAAAGCAAACTTATAAGTGCACTACATGTGGAAAATCATTCACAACCATTAGCAATATGAAAAGACATACATTGGTTCACACAGGAGAGCGACCTCATAAGTGTACTACATGTGGAAAATCCTTCACATTCAGTAGCAATATGAAAAGACATGCATTGGTCCACACCGAAGAGCGACCTCATAAGTGTACTACATGTGGAAAATCCTTCACATTCAGTAGCAATATGAAAAGACATGCATTGGTCCACACCAAAGAGCGACCTAAGTGCAATAAATGTGGAAACCCCTTTAAAACTAAGGACTGTCTGAATAAACATTCTTTGGGTCATACCAGCGAGCGACCAAAAGTGCACTACATGCGGAAAATCCTTTAAAACCAACAGCCTACATTAGAAAAACTGCAATATATTTAATGAAACATTGATCATTGTACAGCGTGGTGTTTTCCTAATAATGTTACGAGGATTTTAAAACGTGACTATGCCATGAATTGCAATGTTGTTGATCCCACTTATAGGATTTTTTTGAATCGGTAGGAGTCAACAATCATTGTTTTTTTTTTTAGTTAGATTTCTTATTAAACTTTTAAATGAATTTATTAAATTTAGTTTATGAAAATTGAGAAGGTCAAGGAAAACATAGCAATTAATTACAAGGTTTAATACTACAAGAATATAAATAATCTTACAAAGCAAAATATTGTAAAGATATTTGCTCCATTGTTCATCAAATTTATATTGTTATAAAGGGTGATTGAGAATAAACCGGGCATTTTAAAAATAAACATTAATCATTGGATTTTTTCAATTAGAACTTTTATGTCTGAAAACACTTGCCATTTAAGACATGCATTATTTGCTAAACATACTATAGGCTACACTTGTAAGATATCCTTAACTTTTAGAAAATATCAGGTGGAATCCACTTTCATTCATACAGGTTTGAGTTATTTTCTTAATTTCTTGCATTACACTTCCATAAAAAAAAAATATTTCTGCAACTTCCTGGTAAATAGTGTCCTTTAAGATCCATCAGAGTTTGGGGTTTGTTCAGAGAAACGTCTCCACAAAAAATTCACACACACGCACAAATCTCTTAATGTGGAGGCTACAGAATACCACGGGAACACAAAATAAACCCTTTATAGGAACCTCTAATACACAACACCAATGCCATTGAATCCTGAGTTGTATTTACGGTCAATGGTAGAATGTACGGTGGATCTTGTTGCAAATAAACTAAGGTACATTTTGTTTATCAAACGTCTTACCTGTGACTTAAAAAAGTTCTTGAGCACATCAACACATTGTATTTAATTCCTCAATTTGTATTTAAAGCTTGCCAAGCCCTTTAAAAATGTACTATGTGGGAACAGTTATTTGTTTGGCCAAACAGCCTCTTTTTCGGATGGGTCCTCTTTCCCTCAAAATTCTAACCTACTTGAGAATTGTATTTTAGCTGAGAATTTATTAAATCATGACGTCTAAGATGAAAGGGAACTAATAAAAAGTCCCTGCGCTGCCGTGATAGGCACGACATTTCGCACATATTCACAATAGTCAAACGTGTATGGTGTTTATTATCTAGTGCTCCATGACTATTAAAATAAGTTTTTTACATACATATAACAACTTGAATACAGGGTGTTGTTTTTTTTTTACGCAACACAAATAATTACAAGTATTGTGAGGTTGATTACTATATTGAATTTATATTAAATCTTAAATTAGGATAAACCTACATTAGTTACATGTCTCACAAAGTTACATAAACTAACTGATATATTAATTTAAGTATATTTGTTAATTGTTGTATCACTAGTGAATTAAAAGGTACTGTATTAACATTAACTGCTTGAGTGTTTGACCTTATTTAGGTATTGTAGTTGAACTGTATTCCACCTACCTAGTGATAATCCCTCTTCTTGACCCTACACCATTCAGCTCATTTTATTCTATAAAAAATTAAAAAAAATGACAATTAGCTCCTTGTATAAAATAGACAGTCAAGCTTAACATACTGAAAAAAATTCTACATCAGCCATGTTATCCGTCTTAAGAGCTATTATATCAAGAGCTTTCTTTTTGGGGATCTCAAACTACGCATAAAAATCTAGGTAGACACAAATATCTGATCTTTATTAAACATCTTGTGATTTAATTTTAAATTGTATACCTAGAAAAAACTATAGCTCAAAGTGGAGAAGAAGTTATTACCATGGATGATACACCTTTAGTAGATTTCTCATCCTTATGGATCAGCTGAAGACAATTTTATTGTTAGATCTGTCGACCACAGTGAATGAGCAATATTTATTTAGGGATAAAATGAAATCGTTATAACCTAACCAAACTTGCTGATTATGAAAAAAATTTAATGAAGGTTTAATAATCGAATAAATATTAGTTTTCAATCGATATTAGGGTAGTCCAGTTAAGAAACTTCTTGGGTAGTCCAGTCTCAGTTACATCCTGCCCACTACACCCTCTTCCAATAATACTCCTCCCCCAAATCACTCTTACGCTCTGAAGTCAAACGGCACTCAGACCTATCTGACGGTTTTGACAGTTTATTATCCCCACCCACGGCAAAGAATAGAACATTACTCTGTCTGTTTCCCAATGTTGTCAGCTGCCCACTTTTTCTACCCATATACCTATGTCCTATTTATTTGTTGAATACACCAAAGTGAAAGATCCCCTCTCACTCTGACAATTAGACCAATTCGTTAATTACAAAACAAAAATGTGGTTTGGATTCCACTTTAAACTGTAGGTACCATGTTTACCACGAGCTGTGTGGGATATTAAATAACAGTCATCTCTAAGGAACATGTTGGGCTTAGTCACTACAAGACTACAAGATCGCGCCACTCTTCCTACACTCATTTGCATTCATACTTGGCTTAAAATGCCTACCTTCGTATGGTCGCCATTTCAATTAAAAGTATTAAAGTATGTTAAACAAAATGTAGTGTAAAGTTTTAAAATAATTGGTCAAGCTAAATAAACATAAAAAATACCTAAATGATTACAACTAATGTGTATATTTTATAAAATATGGTATTTTTTCAGAAGAGGCAATAGATTTGAAGAGGAAAGGCAACTTAAATTCATGCTGCAAGAAAGATAATATTAAAAATCTGATGTACTTAAAACAGCAGCTAAAAAGATAAGTTGTTACCACTTGAGAAGTGCAAATTAAAGTCAGTAATTGACTATGTAAAACATAAATTTAAATTACACCATTGACTAAGTCAAAGATTACACACAACTTGAATATGGCTGATGCAATAGTATAAAAAAATTAAACCTAGACGCTACTTTTTCTTTTAAATGAGAAGACTAGTTTTACATGATGGGACATAAATGTCAAGCAAAAAAATCAAATTGCTTCAAGTAGTCTATGCTGTAAGCAATTTAATACAAAACAATATTTGAGCAAGAGTTGTTTTAAAGTTGATTGATACACGTATATCAAAGGAAATACGCATACAAAGCCAACTGACTAGTTCTTATTAGTTTCTAGCAAGTATTTAAAGTTAGAAGCTAGAAATTAAAAACTATAAGATGAGCACTAAAAAACCTTCCCTCGAGTGTCCAATATGTAGGAAAATGTTTTTAACTCTATTAGGAATGAAGGGTCACATATATTTACACACAGGCGAGCGTCCCTTTAGATGTTTGAAATGTGAGAAAACATTTATTCAAATAACCCAAGTGAAGTATCATTTGTTGACACATTCTGGGAAGTGGCCTTGGAAGTATCATTGTAAATGCACTATATGTGGAAAATCCTTCACATCCAGTAGCAATATGAAAAGTCATGCATTGACTCATACAGGAGAGCGACCTCATAAGTGCATTATATGTGGAAAATCCTTCAAAACCAAGAACAGTATAAAGAATCATACATTGGTTCACACAGGAGAGCGACTTTATAAGTGTACTGTATGTGGAAAATTATTCAAAACAAAGAACAGTTTGAAGATTCATACATTGGTTCACACAGGAGAGCGACCTCATCAGTGCACTACATGTGGAAAATCCTTCAAAAGGAAAAGTTATGTAAGGAATCATATATTGGTTCACACAGGAGAGCTACCTTATGATTGCACTGTATGTGGAAAGCCCTTCAAAACCCATACACAAATGAAGCGACATGCATTGCTTCACACCGAAGAGCGACTTTTTAAGTGTACTATATGTGGAAAATCCTTTAAAAGCAAGCATTGTTTGAAGCAACATACATTAGTTCACACAAGAAAGCAAACTCATAAGTGCACTACATGTGGAAAATTCGTCACAAGCAAGAGTGGTATGAAGATTCATACATTGGTTCACACGGGAGAGCGACCTTATAAGTGCACTACATGTGGAAAATCATTCACAACCATTAGCACTATGAAAAGACTTACATTTGTTCACACTGGAGAGCGACCTCATAAATGCATTATATGTGGAAAATCATTCACAACCATTAGCGATATGAAAATACATACATTTGTTCACACCGGAGAGTGACCTCATAAGTGCACTATATGTGGAAAATCATTCACAACCATTAGCAATATGAAAATACATAAATTAGTTCACACAAAAGAGCAACCTCATAAGTGTACTTTATGTGGAAAATCCTTTAAAAGCAAGCAATGTTTGAAGCAACATACATTAGTTCACAAGAACGTTCCAATCGTTCGTGTCTCATGGGAGTAAGGTGGCAGAAAAAGGTGAAGATGGCATTGATCTTTGATCATCTTGACATACATGGTTTCCGTTTTAAGTGGAAAGATGGGCAGCTTCGGGCAGGGAAGGAAGATGGTGTGGCCAAGCTCCGTAGCATGTTTAACTTGGACCTAAGTGACTTTCTGGCTAAGCAGAGTTCCCAACATGCCATGGAGAGAAGCTTCACACAGGATCCGACAAAGGTCGACAGCAGCGACACTACACAGGCAGGTGGCACTGACAGCGTCAGAGGTGGTGCGAGGGACGTCGAACGGGACCAAGTCACCGGCCAAGGCATGAGGTGTCAACTCCAGCCCCACAGTGAGAGGACGAGTTAGTGATGTAGACTGTTAGAAGGCAGTTTAGATTTATTTAAGGTAGGCCTTTTATCATTTAATGTTTGTGGTTTATAACCGAGGAATCTTTTTTTAATTTTTAAATCGTTATGACATCAGAATCAATAATCTTTATTCGGTCTGTATGTACATACATGAATAGAGTCAATACACTAATACATAGGTTACACAAATTTTACAGAAATCTTAATATATAATTAATAATATTGGTTTTATAAAAAAAACTGATTTTTAATAGAAACAAATCTATACATTAAGAACTGTAAGCATACGCAAAATTCAAATATGAAAAATATATATGTTACAAACGGATAAATTTAAAACTAAGATTGTTGTCAGATTTAATTGGTGATTTGAATAAAAATTCTTCTATGGAGTAGCAATTTTTTGTTAGGAGATAAGCTTTTACTTTATCTCTAAAACATTTTTTATCCATATGAGTTTTTAAATTCAATGGCAATTTATTTAAAAATGGTGTCCCCATATACGTAGCTTTTTTCAAAAAAGCTAAGTTTATGTTGGGGGATGTTAATTGTATTTCTATTTCTAGTATAGTAGGAATGTATATCTCTACTATACTATGCACTCCAAAATATATTGGTCATACACCGTTAGTATGTTTAAATTGCAAAACAGATTTTTTACCGATGCGTCACGCTCTAGATTTAGCATTATTCGCAAAGTTCTTTTTTGAAGTTTTAAGATTTTGTCTAAATTGCTAGCTCGTACGATAAATGTTAATGAACATGAGCATAATGTATTGATTTTAGAGTATCAAGGTTACATAAAAATGACATCCTATATAAAATATTCCTATAGAAATATAGGAATAATTCCTATAAAAAATAATCCTATAGAAATTATATCAGTTACTTTTTGAACATGATCATCCCAACTCAAATTATTATCAATCTCTATCTCTAAATATATTGTGACATTTATAGTATTTATTTCACTGTTATTAATGGTTATACTTATGGTAGGTTTTTCTTTGCTCTATGCCCTTGAAAAAAACATTTTATTAGTTTTCTCCACGTTCAATAATAAACAATTTCTAGTGAAATAAGATTTGATATTTTTTATCTGTTCCTTACACGATTTTTCAAGACCTTGATGTGTTTTAGATGTTTTTATTAGATTCGAATCATCAGCATAGAGAACCAAATTGCTGTATGTGTCATTAGTATTATTTATAATAGAGGGATTGATATAGATTTGATCCCTGAGAGACGCCATGTTTGATTTCCATTATATTATAATTGTGATTTAAAACTTGGTTGTGTTTGATTGATGTAATTTCCGCATACTGTTTTCTGTTTAATAGATATGATTCAAACCATTTTAACTGTAAGTAAGGCAAACCTAGATTTTTTATTTATTTAAAAGAATTTTGTGTGAGATACTGAAACGCTTTTGTGAGGTCCATAAAAATACCAACTACTTTATTTCCTTTCTCAACCGATTCTATAAATAGTCTCCGTAAACTCTAACAAAGCAGTGGTTAGTTTATTTTTAAGGGACAAGATGATGTGTTTTTTATCTCTTTCTCATTGACTGGGGTGCATTGAAATCTATATTTAATTTCATTTTGGAGAGCATCATGTATTTGTGCTGGCCCAGGTGATGACTGAGAACAGGAGTTTAAGGATGTGTTTTGCACTAAATCCTCTATAGCTTTAATAAAAAATGTATTAAAATTATTTGATATAGTTTTTGGATTGCTTATTGTGGAATTTTCATGTTTA